GCATTTCTGTCAATGACAACAGCATGGGTGATAGCTGTATTTACAGGGACACACTGTGTCTGTACATAATAAAAGAAAGAAAAGTAAATCATGGCAATGTGCAAAAAGGAAGGTATTTCAAAACAAGTGCCTATAACTCATGATTTGTGGTTTTGGTAAACCATCATAGGTTACGGATGAAATGAACTGATAGTTTGCTGCACCCAACAACACTGGAATACATGTTTACTTCACACCAATTCACATCCATGCTCATCAAAAATAAAATTTACGCTCTTAATATAACAAGGCAGCAAAGATGTCAAATGTGCAGACAAAAAGCAGAAAATTATGATGCACAAAGTAAGTTATTTTGTCAATTTTGTTGTAACATTACATAATGCTTTACAACAAAATCAACACTAAATTTTAATAATTTACAACAGGTAACACCAATATTAGAATATGTAACTAGCATAAGGCTTCTGTTATAGGAGAGTTCAAGTTCAAACCTGGCATATGCTCGAATGAGAAAAATGATAATTTTACAAAAAATTGCATAAATTCAATGATAAAAATGATAATCCAATAGAGTTGGTTTTCTAATTTGAGCTGAATACCCTAGGTTCTAGATTCCGGTATTGCCAGCTCGATCTTGATTTCATATATAACCCATAGTAGCAATACCAGGCTCTAGCGAACAGTGGCAACTCGGGGGCGTTCTTCTTCAAAATTCTGCCTGGGGCGCTTCCATATTTGGAAGTCACACGTCACAGCTGTGTCCGCCTGGATCCATATTTGGAAGTCATAAGTCTCGTACGTCACAGGTTTGACCGCCTGGAGCTGCCTTTCCCACCTTGCGCTGAAGTCTCGTGCAGGCGAGACAAGAAGCAATTAAAGTGCCTGACGCAGAGTTAGAAGTTTTAATTGAAAATATCTTGCAGTCGAAGGTCAGTGCCACAATACAAGCAACATTCTGCTGTAAAAACTTATTTTCGTGTAGCCATTACGCAGCCCTTATAGTGGTATCGGGCATACAGTGTAGCTGTCAAATTTGGCACACGGCAAGCACATGTATTGTGCACGTGTATATCTCAGGACTAAATGTTCTTTGATAAGCAAAAAATACAAAAACATTGGATATATCTTTTCTTTCCGAAGAATATTATTTATTTTTTCATTTTACATCTTAAATACAGCAAATAAAATTAAATAAAGCAGAATTAAATTTGTTTTACGTTTTATTTTGGTCTGATGACATTCAACTGCATTTTCACTGCGGAGCAGTTCTATTTGATTGATGGAAAACTTTCATGGCCGCTGGTCTTCAGAGTTAGTAAAAGCGACTCCACCACAAGGTATATTTAGCAAGCTAGCTTTTACGTTGCTCTGACACTCAGGGTAGAGCTGAAGGGCAATCCTTAGAAGCATTCTTGTAAGTTACAAAATAATAAATAATACAGTTTTGTGGTGGCAGTGCACAAAGTAAGTTTTAGGTCAGTTTTTATGCAGTATTACATAATGATTACCAGCATAATCAACACCAATTTCTAATCATCTACTATACATAACATGGATATTCAGAAAATGTAACTATAACTCTGTTTCATGCCCATGGAAGTTCCAAGTCCTACATTGAAAATGCCAATATGTGAAAAAATGAAAATTTCACAAAGAACTGCTTCCAGAAAAAGAATGCAATCACACAGAAATGGTTTCTTCAATTTTATACAATATTACATAATGTCTGTACATAAAAACATGGTCTGCAAAATAAAATATGTTGTACAGAGGTGCCAAAGTATTTAATGTTTACTCTGAAAGGTATTTTTTTAATCAGCAAACCTTGTTTTTTTTTTCCAAAATGCAAATACATTTTTTTTAATCTATACCTTCATATCCATTCACAAGCAACTGTTTACAACTTGACTCATAACTGTACAGTCAAATATCAATTTTTAACTCTGGTTAATTTGTTAAAACTATTTTACACAAGGGAAAGGCACAATACCAAAGGCATTATAGGGAGAAACATCACACAAAATCTTTCAAGGTAACAGCTAAGATGTAGTAAGGTCACTTAATTCCCAATAGCCATAATCTCCTGCGTGTCTGGTAGTATACTTAATTATGGCTGGTTTAGAACTTGGTCAGACACATGTTAAGATAGCAGTGCACTGACTGGCATGGCTATCTCCCATTACACAACAGGCCACAATATTGAAAAGCTTGTACTTTTCAGGTGAAGTTAGGTAGATCTATTCTTATCTGTCAGACGCCTTAGCCTCTTAAGCTGTTTGATAGACAAATTTATCATAGTTGGTTTGATCTTAGCAAATACATTGGTACCAAGGCACAGTTGCTATCAGTGTTACATAACAGATCATAAACTAAGCTGTTTTCTTTCCATGATCAATCACAGTAAGATTCTTCATAGACCACTTTACCCACTCAAACCTGAAAACATTACTGAACTGTCATGAACTAACATTTAACAAAGCGGATTATAGACTATTACTGCATGAACATGAGCTTTTAATCAGAACATCCTGGAAAAACGTTAAAGAGGGTATTTTATTGCATCTTGTCACTTATGACGGTTAAAAAGTAAATTATTTCTACATAAAGAGGGTGTCAAAGTTTTCTCCCTTATGATGAAGGCACTATGATGGAGGGATCAAACATGTCTCTTAGATAGAAATCATATTAAGTTTTATTTCAATTTACTTTTTTGTCACTTCAAGAGTAGAAACAAAAATTTCATCTGTCAGATCCAACGCCATTTTTTTTTCATAATGTAATGTTGTAAAAAAAAAAAAAAGAATTCTAATTAACTATCATGTTTTAGAACTTAAACATGAATGTGTTTTTAAAAAAACAATCCATTAAAGCTCATGATGACCCCCCCCCCCATCCTTGAAACAAGCAATTACAAAAGGTAATAATAGTGACCTGGTAGCAAAATAACCCTTAAACACCAAAGGGAGTTTATTGTCTAATTAGGTCACCACAGATTTACAATCAAAAGTGAATGTAATTGAAATTTTGGAAGTGTAGCATTACAGTTAACATAAATGCTAAGGTGTACTTGACACGCATAGAAGTATTCAATGACATGACATATCTGGACCCTTATCAAGACAGGTAAATGCTCTACTGGTAATAAGCTGCAGATGCCCCCCCCCCCCCAACCCACACACAAACACACACACACACACACAGAGACTTTGCACTATGCCGTCATCTTTAATTTCTAATCAATATAAAGCAGTGATTTAATAGTTTGAAAATCTGAGAAGCAGCAATAGACTAAAATAATTATCATCTCTCTCAAAATTTTGGTGAGATATTATGTAAATTATATCTTTTCAAAAGATGAAGGATTCCATTACTGGAGTCCCAAGCAGGTAAATCAAATGGATTGTACTTTTGTTCACTGATTTTTCCATTTTAACCCCAAAATCGCTTTTATAATGTCACCTGTTAGATGACATGTATGTACATGTTTATTAAGATAGTCAATGAACACTGAAGTTTTATCTGTTATCCAAAAGAATGCATGCGAGGCAGTAAATAAAGAGTTTTTGGCAAAACTTAATGCAATCTGTGCTTGTCTTGATCCAAAGCAAAACTGCCAATTAGACAAAACACGAAACCGATAGAAATAATAACAAAAAAGGTTTTTTTCAGAACCATGCATGTTATGATTCTCCATTGGTTGGTCCAAATTGGTGTCCAGTTTGTTTTTTTAAGTAATTTTAATTCAGTATTACATAATCTGTAAAAGCAAAGCCATAACCTTTTTTTAATGTATGTTGCTGTAGTACAGATTAAGAATATCCAAGTAAAAGAAGGATAAATACCCACTATGTGTTTAAAAACCTGACATTAACGTGTCCATAAACTAAACCACAGCATAACTCCAACAAAAATATTCCAAGACTTTTTTTTCTGGCTCAGTCTGTATTTTAGTCCTATGAAACATTCCATTTAGTTTCAGAACAATACATGATGAATGTTTTCAATTTATTACGTCCACAATTCAAAATTTTGAAAAAAGTGCACGGCTCAGGTGACATCTAGCACCAACAGAAATTTATTGCCACAAGCCCAGAATCCATCTGTTCCTTTTAAGTCATGTTTGCCATGTGAATGAGAGATGATGAAGCTCCAGGATAGATGTAAGGGCATTCTACCCTCACTAATCAACCTATTATTCTTTATGATGTAGCAAAGGAAACATAAAATACAGAAAAACAGAGACCACTGATATTTGATGACACACAAAAAAATTCAGGTTCTAAGTGAATTAGGGTGTATTCCCAGAGATTTAGATCAATCCAGAGATTAAGATTTAGATCGACCTAACTCCCTGGGGGTTCAAGCTAAATTGCAGTCAGCCGAGTGCCCACCATAGTTAATTACCCCCTTACAGCTTTCAGTAGGCGGGACAGACGCTTAAGCCGTTTAAGCTGACAGTAATCTAGTGAGACTCCCCACAGGGATAGATCGATCTAAAATCTATGGAAGTGGGGTCTTAGACTCATCCCTTAAGAAACTGACGAAAAAGGCTTATTTTCATATTTGGATAGGCATTGTAGACAAACTATGATAGCTAAAGCCCTCAAATTTTGCACATAAGTGGGATATCAAAAAACAAAATGTTTTAAATTTCAGCCTCACATTATTGCTCCCATTTCGAATATTCCCCAAACGATTTAATTCTTTGCTGTGTTAAAAAACTACAAGATATCAATCTGAATATTTTTCATTGCTTTTTTTATTCATAAATGAAGATCACTGTACAAAAATAATAAAACAGAAATTTATGGTCCCATAAAAATACAAACATTTCTTTTTTGTGAGTGCCTTGGTATCAGGGCCTCCAAATGCCAGAGGCAGTATGCTAAGACAAGTGTGCTGTTCTATAAATATAGCATACATAGTTCTCTCATCTGGAACAGTATGGTTAACATTATATGCATAACAATAAAGAAATGTTAACCTCAACAATGACTTACAGTTTGTTTTTAAAGAATTCTGTCAAAATCAAAGCATGGTTCTTTCACATCCATTTTGTCCGGCCCATTTTGTCCATGGAAATACAGCACTTGCCATAAGCTAGGGGGATTTGGGCTTTCTGTCACCTCCTATACAAAATAAACAAACGAAGTTAAGCCAAACAACTACATTTACATTTACTATCACTCTCCACGCATGATGATGCTGGCACACAATAGATGAATGATTAAAATCTATTTTCCATTCATAAGCTGTCATTTAATTCACTCATTTATGTCAACATAAAAAAATCAAAACAAAATAAACACATTGGTTTCTTCTCCTCATTAAAATCTGATGCTTTCTAGCCACTTACATATGCATTTTCTTTCATAATCAAACAGGTTCACACATCCTCAAATGGTCTCTTTTTACAGTGAACCACTTAAAAATTCAACAACAGCAAAATTACCTTTAATCTCTCCATCTAGTTCATTATCAAATTCCATGTCGACATTAGCACTGGGTAATGGTTGTAATGCACTAGAAGGAGTCACTCGCTCAGCAGGATGCTAAGTTGACCGACCAGGATTCCTTGAAAGAAAAAACAACTTTTATGCACTCAGAAAACCAATACTAGGAAAAAGGTTCCTTTTACAAAAAAAAAAAAAAAAAAAAAAAAAGTTTATGATGTGTGATTGTTTAGCAAAATGAAATTTGTTCAAGGTTATTTCTAATCCAAATCCGTTCTTTTAAAGATGCATACAAAGCCAATTTTTTGTCACAAAAACTGACCAAATGCCAGCATAAAAATTAGTAAGAAATAAGAAACTAATAGAAGTGGTTTACATGTGTTACTAGGAATCCACGCTCCACCGATGCTCGGTTCATATGTACCTTTAACTGAAATGTTTTATAATGTTGTTCAGGTCTAAGTTGGAAATTTCATAAAATGTTTACATTATACATAACTTTATACAGAGCCCCAATATATATGACATTCTGCTCTTTGAAAAGCTTAGCTTGATTTATTGAGTAAAAAAAATATAATTTATATGGAATAATTTCTGGGGAGATATGTTCACATAAAAACTATTAAAAAAAACAAAAAAACAGAGAGAAACCTATTAATGACTGATAATTGACAATTCTCCCGATGAGCCAAAAATGAAAGATAATATATGATAAGGACCACAACTAACCATAAGATGGCATGGGTACAATTAATGAATCAGAGAGGCAGCAGTGTACCTCTACAAAAGAACTTTAAGCAAAAAACATACACATGTGTGAAGTGTAAGATGGATGTGTACCCTTTTCCAGACCACTGGGAAAACCATGCTATTTCAAGTGGTTCCACTACAAAAATATGCTCTACAAAAGCTGGAAATCTCATCATTGACTGCTGTAGATGCCATCTGTAGCTATAGCCAGCATGACAAATAGTGATTTTTCTAATTACCCATAACTGAGACACATGCACAGTAAAACAGACAGCAAAGCTTGTCAATATACAGACACTTAACAGAAAGCAAAGCTATATCGAGTTAACTGCGACATAACTCAATTCCCAATCTGAGTTTATTTGGACTGGGTACATAGTTCGGTCACATTTGAAAAGTTAACCAAAGGCCGTGGTCAGATGTTAATTGCCTTCAAAATTGCCAGTGTGAATGGCTAGTGATCAGATTATGTACAGACACAGTGTCTGTACATAATAAAATTCATCAAGTAACAGCTTCTGTGCACCTGTTCACATTCCAATACATGAAACTGTATCACAATATGTGATTACACTGATGACTTTGTGAGAGTACTATAATGGCTTTCTCCTATTGATCACAGTTGGTAAACACACATTTACTGAATGAGTAATTTATGTAAAACAGCTGTGGATAAAAGTATGTATATAAACTACACTGGTACAAACTACATTGCGGCAGTAGCATGTGCTTTATTCGCCTATTAATTATAGCAGCAGTACCTGGTTCCACTGGCCCCCAAAGGAAGGAGTGCCTGTGCATAGCTGGCTTATTAATGAATGTCTGTCTTGATGCCATCTATTTGCAGAAGAATTTGACCTCTGTCCATGTGCAGAACCAGTGTTGTGGAACAGAGCACCTGAAAACGTGCCAGATTTAATTTGATTCAAAATACATTTCAACACATATACAGAATGTCATGAAAATGCATTCATCAAATAAATAAATAAATAAATAAATAAATAAATAAATAAATATCAAAAACAGATAAATTAAAAATTATATATGTATTAGTACTATAAAAATAATTATAACAAAAATTATATAATAACATGATAATTAAATGAAAATGGGTAGTAATAAATTTGTATACGGTATGAAGCTATTGAAAAAAGAGAAAAAAATAACTTATTTCATCATTTTACTAAACATAAGCAACCAGCCCCATAAATTCAGTTTCTTACTTCAAAAATGTCACATGTATTTGAAATTAAGTTTTGTAATGCAGTGTACATTTGAATACATAACTGGAAATTAGGCCAGCCAGGACATGCTGGTGAAGGGGGGGAGGGGGCAGAAGTATGCCTGGCTTCATTACACTCCATTTATAACCCTTGAAACATTCCTAACCCACCTTGAACTGATGAATGTGACTAAAGACATTTTTCCTATAGAATCATAACAGTGTCATTCAGAGGTGACTAGAAAACCTTACATGACAATGAATGGAATATAAGTCTACAATGTAACACAAGGTCAATGTATTTCTCCTAAACTGTTCATGTACAGTATTTGCATGACTAATGGAATTAATACTGGACTCTGAAGCAGTGAGACATGAAGACAGCTACTTGGACCAAGCCCTTATTCTCAAAGAGGTTTTCAAACAATTAAATAATGTAGCTAAATCAGCCCCGTTTTGTCATGCAAAATCTTTTCAAAGCTAAAATTTCATGAACATATTAT